GTGTTTACACTCTTCTTTCTCACAGAAAATTAGATGCAGCAAAAATGCAGAGAGCAGTAGCAGATTTAAGGATGGAAAATTAGAGTTAAAATCAAGTGAGGGACTTGTCTTATTTATAGATGCAGTGGCACCATTTTATTTTGAATTGAACAGGTAGCATACCTGTTTGAACAGGTACTGAACCTGTTGAGTTTGAATTTGGATTGTTTGGGTTCAAATTTAAATTCAGACAGATAAAAATTGTATTTGAACAGTTTCAAATATGTACAAAATTTCGGATCTGTTTGTACATAAACCATGAAGAGGTGCAGAAATTGAATTTGAATTCAAACGGTCAGAATTTATTTTCCAAAGATAAAAAATAAATTCAAATGTTTTTGGCCCAAAAAAGATTAGTATTGGGCCAAACAAGCCCAATCCAACCACACACCACGCACCAGCGCCCAGGCCCAGCCCGCCCAAACGGACGACGGCGCATGTGTGGTAATTTTTGAGTTCAATGGGTCTAGCCCATTTTGCCCATAACCTCCCTCTCTACAAAACTTGGGTGCCCCTTTAGGCCTACCCCAAGTTCCAATTCCAAGTCTTATAAACCCACTTAAAATTTCTCACCAAATCAATGTGGGTCAAGCTATTATTCAAATCTTTAGAAAATTTCACCAAAAATACCATTTTTATGGAACTCTCTTTGGCTTCAGTTTTCCATTCACTCGATAATGGTTTTGAGCAACCAAATATCCCACGTGAATCACAACGCAGCATAGAACGCGTTACTACTTAGACCTGCCAACTTTGGCGCATGGGTCCCATCTAAAAAATAGACAAAAGTTAAGAAAAAATTCTGTTTTTCTAGATTTTTTCAAAACCCATTTCTAACACTCGGTTAGTATTACGCAATATGTAATCGTTGTAGGCATCTGGGGTAAGGTCTACAAAGCAGCAAACACTACAAAATATAAGAGTTTTAGAGGCCAATTTTTTTGGTCTCTAAACGTGGAAATCTCGTTACAAAAAACATTTAGGGACCAATTTCTATCGTCGTGAGGATACTCGCTAAAAGGTTGTTTCAAAAAGTAAAAAATATGACTTTTAGCAACAAAATTTTGAACGTGTCACTAATAAATATACTTGTAGGGACAAAATAATTTAGTTTCAAAATGGTTTATTTTTTGAGACAAAAAATTTAGTCCCAAAAAGATAATAATTCATCACTAATGTCTAATTTTCTTTGCTAAAAATATAACAACGATACTTTTCGCAACGAAAATATTTGGTTCCTAAAAAATAATTTTGTCCCTAAATTTTAGTCTCTAAAACCGTAATTTTTTGTAGTGAAAAGATGGGGCATACCGAATAATCCGAATCCAATTCTTGTGATACGGAGGATAAAATCTCTTTGGGGGATTTTTAGTTTACTAATACCTAATTTTATGATCCCTTTGTTTATTGACTTGAATATCATGCTCCATTACTTGTTTGTTATGATTATGATTGTGTATTGGATTGGGAAAAAGGACGAGGTGTGTGCGTTTACTAGGCATTCTAAACTCATGGCATTTCGTGCCATATATTGAAGACTATTAGCCGGTCGAAGATGAAGCTGAAGTATTTGAAGACATATGACTACCCCTAGAAGAATTAGAAACTAGTTTTGTCAAGTCCATTTGTAACCATGTTTTGGGATTGTAAATGTTAAAACTCTTATTTAAGACATGATTTTGTAATGATTATTTTTGTTATATATATACCTATATATCCTTTGTGTAAACTTATCTTTTATTTTCTCCGTCAACTTGTATAGATATTGTGTTAATAGCTTGTTAAGATCTATAAAAAATGTAGTTTTGCTATCTAAGGAGAGTGGACTTAGAATGGAGGCTATTTTGACTTATCCGATCTTTCATAGGATCTTGCTTGGTTATTGACCAAAGAACTCATTAATGACGTTTCCTAAACTTCAACCTTAGAGTCGATTTTGGGCATCACACTTGTAACCTTAAAAAAATTCTGTGTTTATTTATTATTATATTTTATGATATTTTTGATTTTTAGGGCGTCACATGACTAGATTAACATAAAAGGAAAAAATTATAGGTAAAAATTATGCATTTATAACTTTAAAGACTAAACTAACATAATAGATGTATTACATAAATTAGGTGTGCCTAATTTGCACCATACGAGCTAAAAGAATTGTTGCATACCACTAGCCAAACATAGGCTACTGGTATGTTGTACCATTTATTTATATATGCCCCATGGGATGGTCTTTCTGTATTCCTCAAGGTTTTCTTTTCTGTCTACCATTTGATCTGCTCCATAGTGTTTTGCTTTTGTCAAATGAATTACATTGATCACCAAAAAAATAAATAATAAATAATAAATTTGAACAAGAGAACATATCATCACTGTAGAGTATTGCAAGCTGTGCCAATTGGCTAAACATGATGGTCACTAACTGTTGGGTTTCATCTCCATGTGAGGAGTTGTGCAAATGGAAGCCATAAAAGTTAAAGAAACCTGCAAAATAAAGAAAAGAAATGCAATTTGCAAATTTGGGCTGAAGATTCAGCTAAGCTATCCTTTGTAGATTGGTTGTGTAGAGTAGTGGCTACCATTAATGTTGTCAGTGGCTCATCAGTGGCTTGTCGGTAAGCAAGCTTGACTTTAGGCTCTCCAATTTGTGTATAAATAGAGGAAGATATAACAGAGAATGTGAGTTGATATGTCCATTATAGTGCATATTTTATACCTTTAATTTACACTTTGTTATACCTATTTTATAACCCTAATAATCTCCTCCTTCTCTGCAGAGGTTTACCTATCTATTTATAAGAGAGCAAAATGAGAACCAAGAGAGCAAGATGAGAGAGTAAAATGAGAACCAAGAGTTTTACGTTTTGAGTAGAGGAAATCAAGAGAGCAAAATGAGAGAGTAAGAGAGATTGGCCCTGTGTTTGAGAGAGGGTGCTCCTTCAGTGTGAAAGGGGGAGCTTAGTGTGAGTTGAGTAAGGATGAGTGTTCCCTCCTCCTCCATTTTAATCTTTCTGTATTCTCTCCATTTATAGTGAAATTTGGTTACTCTTCTGTGGATGTAGGCATTGGGCCGAATCCCATTAAATTTTGTTTCTCCTTATGTGTGTGGGTTGTTTGTGCATGAAAATGTTTTCTGGACAACATTCACATTCAAGCGAATAAAGATGATAACAAGAAGAGGACATACAAGCATTTGGTAAAAACTTCATCAGCAAGCTGTGCATCTTTTGGAATTTGTACTTTTTGTTTTTTACTGCTAAGGCCTCGTTGTCAACTATACATTTTAGCCAAAAAGTAAAAAAATTACTATAAGTTGTCACATCACTCTCTATTTTTCATCTTTTCGTAAAAAGTCAAAAAATTACTAAAATAGTATGTTCTTAAATGTGGCCTAAATCACACTGGAAGTGACTTTGTCGTGCACAAAATGAACGTTGATAGGATTTTGATGTATTTCTATCTCCCCCTTTTGATATTTATTGTGATAAAATCAAATTTGTGCAATGTATCTCAATGGCAGCCCAGTTTTTCATCCCTAGGATGAAACATATTGAAATTGATGTCCATTTTGTTTACACAATAGCAACCACGATGAAAATTACAATTTGCAATTTAGCGGAGGATCAAAAACAGGTTTCCAATTACAGCACTGCAGATCACAAATGGCAAATATCTCTCTGCTACAATTTGATTGAACAAAGTCAGGAAAGAGAAATTCTGAAATCTTACAATAGCAAACCAAGCCAATTGGCTTTATTAAGCTTCCACATGCATGTTTCATTCTCTTTTTATCCATTTGTTTGTATAGAAAATATTTTTTGAAAAATATTTTTCGTATTTTCTAGTGTTTAATACAATGAAAAATGAAAATTAATAGAAAATATTTCGATGATAGAAAACAAACTTATTTAGATAGAAAATATTTTTCACTTTTAACATATAGAAAATATTTTGAAAACTAAAATCTTACTAATACCACCACATTATTATCAACACCATCATGTCCACATCTACGTCCACCACCATCACTACCTCTGCCACCATCACTTCCACCACCAACTTCCCATTAATACAAGCATTAATACGTTAGTAAGTGAGGCAGCTCAACCTTAAATGAGAAGTTTATTTTTATATGTATAAAGTAAAATTTAATAAGAGATCTTTTTTTTTTTGGGTCTACTTTTGCTCTTTTTTTTTTTTTTCTTTTCTTTCACCGTCACTTTTATTTTTATGTATATATATAGTTTGATGGGATATTTATATTTATAAGCATATACACAGCATTAAATAAATATGTATATATATATAAATGGGACCTTCATTCTTTAGAGGCCTTAATCATCTCCAATGACAAATGTTATAATAGTATTGTCATTGCTATAATTTGGCAATGCATATAGTAGAATTATAGTAATGGTGCTCCAATAGTTAGACGCCATTTTGGCAAAACTAAACATAGAAATTGTGCGTTCGGGATGACCGGCCGAACACAAAAATTTATCTATTTTGTTCGGAGTGAGGTTTTTTCAACTGATTTAGAGCAAAAAATCCATTAGTATTTGATGTTTGGCACTTACTATTCTTCCTGCAAAATTTGACAATAGAAATGGGTAGACAAAAGCATAGCAATTCATTGGAGACCATTTTTTTGTCACTCTTGCCAAATTATAGCTTTAGCAGCTCCATTATAGGTGTGACTGCCTAACTTGCTTAATGGTCAAGCCAGTACTATATTAATTTTAAGGTCATTTAATTAAACGTAAGAAAACGTTTTCTCTTAAAAACATTTTCTGAAAAAAGTTATATGTAGAAAATATTTTTATTGAAAAGTGTTTCCCCTCAAACAAATGGATTTTGAGCCAAAAATCAATAAGTGAACCAATCTGTTCAATGAAGGAATGCATGACAATCCACAATTCCGATCACAGTTCATTCATTTTGCATCAATTCATAGAAGATGATGATGAGATGGCACTGCTTAATAAGTAGTAAAGAGTATGCATATAACATTGCAAAATCATACTAGCTCCATAAGTGTTGATAAACAATACATATATATTTATCAATCATGATCTTATTCTATATGTAAGCCATATTGCCACAACTAGCATCCTCAGACAATGGAATGGAATGGAGTGGATGTTATGATGATATAGTAATAGAACCATATATATATTACCTCCACCAAACACTAAGAGAAAAGCATTTGGATGACAGAAGAGAGAGAGCATGCATTGCTTCAGATTCAGAGCAAACTCTTTTTGATCTTATCTGATGTGGAAATGTTTGTAAGTGGCATTTTCTTGCATGGATATTTGAATCCTTCCCCTCTCATCAACCTGCCCTGAAACAGTTTCATTCAACTGATGAGTGCCAATGCCAGTGCCGGTCCCTTTGTGGCTTGAGCCTTCTGCATGAGAATCGGATGTGTTCTTCCTACGACGCTCATTGTGTCCTGCCAGTCGCCTGCGGCAGCTTCTTTTAGCTTCATCAAATTCTGATAGCTCATGGAATCTTTATCACAATTGTATTGTAACAACAACAAATAAGAATGATTAGAGAAAAATAAAGAAGCCCCACCACTTGCTTGTTGATTTTAAACACTAATGTTGTGTTTGGTTGGGGGATTTGGGGAGGGATTTGGAAAGAGAAAGAGAAAATGTGTGTGAAAATAGGAGAAATATAGGTATGTTTTATTCATATTTCACATACTTTTTCTATTTCCCTTTCTAAATCTCTTCTCAAATCTCCAAACCAAATACAACATAAAAGAGGCAATCTGATATAATAAACTATCACATGAGAGGATTAGAACATTATAATAGACATAGCTCGTTCTGGGCATGAGAGAGAGTGTCCAAAATAATTGAACAAGCACCCAAAAAAAATAAAATTCACATCCTAAAATTCCTGAAATCACCATCAACTCTACAAATTAAAACTAAACTGAGTAATGATTTTCAAGAAACATGAAAATCAATTTCACATCTCATCAATTTCAATTTCAAGGATATGTTTTAAGGATCAAATTCTCTATATTGAGTCAGCTCAGCAGGCCTGGCCTCCAACCAAGAACAAAGAGAGGCCTCGCATTGATTCTAAGCATTTGTATCTCAAAATAAACCAAAGAACCAAACCAAACCAAACAAAACTGTTTGCCGTGAACTAAGTCACATCCCCAAAACTACTTCTAATTTCCCCCATTTTTCAAAAATTGCAGCGATTTTCCTTGCCAGTTCTTCAGAAGACTGAAGTAGCTAACCATAATTTATAAACAAGCATATATAAGATAATGCCCTGAGGAAGAACATCAAATACATACAACTAAAATCCAAGCCATCGTATCATCAACAACCGGAATTTGAACACATCCTAGAAATTCAGAGGTGAACTTCTTAGTCTTGTATATTGCTACTGAGATAAGTATATCTATACACACATAGAATCAAATTGTTTTACAACAATTCTTTTATATACAATAGAAGCAGTAGCTGTAAAAGTGCTCTTCTTGGAAAATATGAAGAACAAACATTCAAACAACTGGATCAATTAAGTAAACTTGAGTCCCAAACTGATGGGAAGATTTTTGAGTTTGTGCAATAATTGCATTAACATTACATTTGATGAATGATTTTATCCCAGTAAACCAAAATCCCTCCCTAAACCTTTTATTGCTACATGCAAAATTTACCCTCAAAATGTTACTATACTACTTCCAATATAAAAATACAAAAAACAAAAAATCAATAAAATAAATTTGTGGTCACCTAAATAAAAAGTCTATAATACCAACTGTGGTTCAACCTTTGAAGTCACAATGGACCATGCCACTCAGTTAAACTATAACTACTGTACTAGACAACAACACTAGGAAAGTAGATCAATCCAACCAACTACAAAACAATAATAATAAACACACAATACAAGCGCATGAAAACAAACAAACAACAAACAAACGTACCTACTACATTGTTGACAAAACCTCTGGCGAATTCCGGCAACCATGACAACCTGGGCCTTGGCATGGTGCTCACAGACCTTATGCCGCCTATGATACTGCTTGGCATCAGCCAGATCAGTCGTGCAATTCTCCGCTTGACAAATCCTCATCGAGCTCCCTCCTCCTCCTCCTCCACTAGCTCTCTTCTTCTTATCATCCTTGGAAGCATTAACAAAATCATCGTTGTTGTCATCTTTGTCAAAATCATCCCCATCAGCAGCAGCCTCCATCTTCACCTTGTCCTTCATCATATTCATGCCCCCCCTTTGCTTGCCAAATTCCATGGATCAAAATAAAAAGAAAGAGTGAAATTAGCAACACAACAAAGAGTGTTGTTGTGAAGGATGGAAGATATAATTAGGTAGAAAGGGTGGTGGTGGAACTTGGGAGGATGAGAATTTTGAAGGAAAATAAATAAATAAATAAATAAAAATTGAAAAGCTAGAGAGGGATGTGTGAGGACCACAACCTCTATTTTATTTTATTTTATTTTGTGTGTGTGTGTTTGTATGTAATTTGATATCAGTAATATTAGGTATCATGAAAAATCTTTTATGAAAATATTCATGAAAATTTTGTAATCTTTGAATTACACTTAGAATAAAACACCACACACTAATTAAAGTAATTTAAAGATCATAACTCTTTCACGATCATTTTCATAAAAAAAATTTCATCATTTCTAACTTTTCTCATTTGAAATTGGTGAAACAGTGCTAAAAGAACAAAAGAGTGTGCATGTGTTTATGCGGGGAACCTTTTAGAGAGAGAAGTGAAAAAAGGGGAAGTAATTAACTGAGAGAGAGAGGGTGGGTGGGTTAGTTCTCGTGAGTGGTGGACCCTCCGCTGTTGAAATAAAGCAAGAGAAGAGGACCTATCGAGATCGAGAGGTGTTAGGTTGTTGCACTATTCAGAGCGTACACCTCTTTGTTGCCACGAATCTGTTGTTGGGTAGTTATTCTGTAGTTCGGATCCTATGGAGGGATTTCTTTATGGGGGTGTTGGTGCAATGCACAAAACGACCTTGTTTTGTGCACTCCTCACAAAAAAAATAATAATAATGATAACTTAGGCCTATTTTGATAAATAGATTAAAAGTTACTTTCCTTTTCTTTTGAAAAATTCTATTTTCACATACTTAATTAACTCAAGACAATTTTTTTCTCAATACATACCTCTATTAATTTGATTATTAACTAATTTTCTCAATTCACATCCTTAAAATTACAATTACATAATTCACTCATAACTATGGTACACACACTTTACACTCAAATACACACACTTTAATTGATCCTAATTCACATTTCTAGTTCTACCCACTTTGGTGAAGACCAAACTCACTTCGTTCAAACATTTAAAAAAAAAATAATAAAAAAAAAACTTTGAACTTTCTTCACCTCCATTGAAGAATTCGAAGAGCTCCATTGAATCTCTACTAAAAACTATTGGAAACCCTTGTTTAAGGTAAGAAATCTTTCTATTTTATTATTACATTTATCATTTTGTTATTACATTTATTATTTTTTGATATCTCTTCACTCCATTGGCATAAAAGCATCGGTTTTTCCCTTGCTAGTCATGCCATGGCTCTCTCGTCACTGAGTGTCCAAAATCGTTTGTTTAATTCGGAACTTAGTCACCGAATAATATGTATAATTTCGACCAATTAGGTCCGAACAAAACACAAAATTTCGTACTTTGTTTGCCGAATCTATTCTATTTTTTCAGTTTTGTAGTTCCAAAACATTACACATCTTTACCAAATCCATCAAATTTGCAATTACACAAATATTAAACAACAATGTTCGGTTATTTTCATAATTTATACCACAAAATGATTTTCATTGACAAATCCAATAGTAATCTCGCGACGATCAGCTAGGGTTACTGGCGGTGATTTTAAAGGTAAGAATGTGAGACACTGTTGCAATGACAAGTGGTACAAGACTATATTATAAAATGATGCAATAAGATACCCCACGTCAGACATAGTCATCCAACAATCAAAGTCTGGGCTATCTTCAAAATATGAAATGATGTGTGTCAGCTCCTCAACCCTCTCATGTGACCCGTATAGTGTACGTATTTATCTCTATGATTATTTAATTCAAGTAGCAGATCACGCCTAATTTGCACCCAGTCATTCTCTCCAAGATCAAGTAAACCCGCAATAGCTCTAAAACCACAATTCCCATCACCATCTACATCCTTCATCAACTTTATGAGTGGTATTAACATACGCGAGAAGTCACCAGCATATGCACTCGGTAAACTTGTTCTTGTATGATATGTCTTTGTCTTCACATCCGCTTCTTCTTATGCACTTTCGAAGCTCTCTTTTTCTTTGACTAACTGGAAGCTAATGTGCTCTGGCTATCATGGCTATTGTCAACCAACTCAAATGCACACAGGCCACGACGACAAGATATATCAATTTCTTATGTCCTCGACATGGATTAGGTTTCACATCAGGCTCAATAAGAAAAGTGCTCGTTGGATTTGCAATTTCCCTTAACTACTTCAACATATTCGATTGCGTGGCAATATCAGACTTATTGAAGCACTTCAAAATCATCTCAAGTTCTGGGATACAAGTCAATTCCAATTTCTCAACCTTCAGATTATGCACACATATAGTAAGTTGCGTCCAATGTATATGTATGCTACTGAGTGGAATAGGACGACCTTGTCTTATGTAATCTGCAATCTCGCGAGCATAAGGTAAACCATGAGTTCGCCTAAGAACACATCCACATGTTGCAACATCAATTCCAATTGAATTTGCTTTCTTACTCTCTGTCAACACGTATTCCAATGCACAAATATACACATTACCCCGGAGCTCTTTGAATTGAGAAGGTTTGAATTGATGTTGCATAGTTGTCAAACTCTTCTCGAATGATGCTTTAACTTGAATGTGCTGTAATTCAAATAGACAATGTATTTTTTCAAATGAAATCTCAAATGTCATTTGACTTGAACCTAATTGCTTCTTCAATCTAGCATGAGCACTCTTAACCTTGTTCATATGGATGTAAACAAAAATAGTCAAGCATAATAATTAAAAATAACAATATGATTTATAATAAATTAATAAAAACAAATACAAATCTCACCGATTGGTTGTAACATTGCCAAAATGCATACACATGTCTGTATGTACCGCAATGAATTTTTCTTTATACGGATTCAACCAACTCAGAGTAACATACTTGATTGCCTTCGAATAGTTACTGAAATCCTTATACAATATTGCAAGGTGCTCATTAAATTCCTCTTCAGTTGATGACAATATCAAATAGTTCCATGCGGTGTTAAACTTGTCCCATTTTTCTTTTGTCACAAACATTTTATTGCATTTCGTCAATACATTCTTATTAATATGCCAACGACATAACATATGTCAAGCATTCAGAAAGGTGTTGTCAATGGCATTAATTCATCAAAGCAAGCTCTCTATCTGTGACAACGACTTCAGGTAAAACATTATCATCCATAAGATCACGCAATGTTTGTAATGCCCATGCATAATTATCAACCCGCTCAGTTTGCAAGTATGCAATAGCCACAGAGAATGTCATATGAGTTGATGTCACTCCCACAATTTCAAGAAGAGAAAGCCAATATCTATTCGTTTTATATGTGCAATCCATAATCAACACACGAGGGAATGTACGAAACAAATCTAAACTCACTAGATGCGCCCAAAACAAGTTCGTGATAGTCATAGAGCCTTCCTCACATCGATGATGCTCAATGTACTTATGTGTCGCTAATTCACCCAGCAGTTGTTGTATCTGAGATCTACTAGCATTCTGTAGAACCTTACATCGATGTCGTACATTGTACACCGTCTTCATTGTGCTCATATTAAGGGCATCCCTCTGTTTGAGTGTAATGAGTATCTCTTTTGGTCTTACTAAGCTCTTTGACATATCTACTAACAGCGATTTTTCATTAGCTGACAATCTCTCTGCATACGAATGTCCTTGGAGATGCTCCGCAGCTAGATGATTATGCAGCCCGCAAACTACATTCAATGTCCATTTATCGTTTGTTTTCGACTTGTATGCCCTCAAATCAAATGGACATTCGCACTTTTTCGTACCAGTTTGTCTCAAAAAGTCTTTTGAGCCATCTTTCAATTTTTTACGCACTCTATACTTCCCACTCCGCTCACAAGCAAGATAAATTTTTGGTCTCTTACAACTGCCGCCATAGTTTGTGTAACGCCCTCAAAATACAGCATATGACAACCATACATAAGATCCATAAACATAATAGAAAAGTTACATTTCTTTTATCAAAGTTTCCTTTACAAAAGATGTCACATGCATAACATTTTCATTGATATTTATCTTGAAACTATGGCATGTAATTCTAACTCCAAGTAACAAAGCAAATGCCCTAAGGGCTTACATCTTTTCCAAGCTATCAGTTGGTTACAACAAAAGAAGAGTTCTAACTCTTTTACATATAATGCCCTCGGCTTGAGATTACATTTACCATCAAAAATAAATCATCAAAATGGAGCCTTCAACTCCTAAACCTCCCAAGCTAAGATCTTGGAGGCGGCATCTCACCTGTACCTGAATAAGGGTGTCCCAAGTAGGGTGAGCCAAAGCCCTGTAGAGATATGCTACTCCAAATATGAGAAGTAACTAAAACATTAGCATTCGATAAATGGTTAACACTTATAAACCAACTTATACCATTTCCATAACCAATCAACACTTACATCATATTCGATTCAATTAATTCATTGATATAGCTCAATATTGTCCAAACAGTTTAAAAATGAGACTACAACTCATGTATCAACACTTCAATAACGAAACATCATTCAACATTTCATTTCCTTGCCATTTTACAGAACTACGTCTAAGGGAACCAGCACCCAAATATATATATATATATATGATTTCGGGACTTTCACCCTGGACACTCTGGCCAACTTAATTCTCAATGAAGTCCATCCTCTATCTCTTCCCAAACAATATACATATGCAATGTATTTAACACGTCGTCATATACAATGACTAGTTAAATCACATATTCAATGTTAATATCCAACCGTCATATTCAATTACATATCCCAATTGATTAGTTTCAATTCACCTAATCATCATGCAGTTTCTACAACAATCATGGTTATCCTCTACCGATAGCCCAAATCAGATATTTCTAAACAGATAATTAAATTTATCAAACAAATAAATTATCACATTTTTCATAGGTGAGTGATTCATTGATCCAACTACACCGTCTAATCACAATGTCCTCTAATTTCATGATTCTCAAACCAATTTCATATTTCCACACTTATTTCACTATTTGTACAAAATAGTTATCCATTTCAAATTAGGGCATTTTCCCCCATTTCACAAATATTGCCCCTAAG